AGAGGGCGGTGGAGGCGGCGTACAAATGATTGAAAAAAAAATTGAAATTGAATACATTGAAAACAAAAAACATAAAAATATCTTGAGAAAAGCGTTGGGCGACAATTCATAACAGGTGACAATTCGTAAGAGACGAAAGTTTGTGACAATTATGCGGGAAACGCTTTTTCACGCGCATTATTTCTCTCGTGTGGGAAATAAGTGCAGCGGAGCAAATTCTACTTGCCATTGCCTTGTTATGAAAAGTCGCTTGTTACGAGTTGTCGACCTACCCAAACAAAGGAGATAATAATTGATTATAAATGAAAATTAGTGGATTTTACCCAGGTGTGATAATTTAACAACATAACACAAAAAAGAAGATAGTGGTTTAGTTTGATTAATTTTTTTTATTTAACTCAACTTAGTTTTTTCGTATCAGTTTTGCAATTTTGCTCCACATGTATGAAATATTTTTGACATTTATTTCTGTATAAAAAATGCATTATAAAACGTCAACAATTGATTGGGTTTTCATTTTCGAGCGCTAATCTGTGTAACATTTCTTATTTAAACAAAACATAATTTTAATAATTTTTATTGATTTTAATCTCTGAAAATTGCTTCAGTTTATTCAAAAGTTATACTATTAACTCGACTCCTGGTTTTTCTTTGCAAATTCCAGTGCGCACCAGAGCTCCATGGATAATAATCAATGATATTGGATTCTCATTGTCAGTCTCCAAAAAATTCAAAAACAAACGTCAAGTACCATTAAAAAGGATTAAAGTCGTAATTCTTGTCACATAATAAAATCAATTTTAATCAATTATAATCAATTATGATGGATTATAATTTTTTTTCGTAAATTTTTCTAAAATTTGGTTAGTGAGGAATAATTTGGGGGTGGTAAATGTGGGGGCTGTAAACTGGGGGAGGGGTGAGGCTAGGATTACGTGGGGGCAGTAACCTAGCAGTAAATATGCCTCATATCAAATTGAGTGGGTTTAGATTGCGAGTAGGCCGTGAGAAATTATTATGGATTTTGAATGGATTGTAATCAGGGGCGGATCTAGGATTTTCTCGAGGTGCGGGGGCGGATTTTCAAAAAAATTCGAAAATTTTGACGACTTTTTTTTTAGGTCGACCAAATTGATTTTTCGAGCTCTCCCAAAGCACTGTTTTGCCCCTATTTTGGCTAAATTTTCTGCGCCGCAGGCGAATTTTTGAAAAAAAAACAAACAAAAAAGCCGTTTTTGGGCACTTTGAAAAGTTTTGACAAAAAAATCGCGTTTTTTTTGGCGCGCGCTCCTCCTCAAAGTTAGTATATATTGGCGCCAAAGGCGCCTTTAGAAAAATTTTAGGGTCGGTCGGCCAAAAATGGATTTCTGAAAAAGTATCAAAAGGGGGACCCTTTGGGTCGGCAGGGGGTCGAATCCCTGAGGAAGAAGGCGTCCCCCCCCCTAAATCCGCCCCTGATTGTAATCCATTATAATGGATTTTAGTTTATAGATTTTACGGAACAAATTTATTATGATGGCAATATATTCAATTTCATGGTCTATATTTGCAACATTATTGGATTATAATCACAACATTTTAGAAAACAGTTTTCTATTATAATCGATTATTAATCATGGAAACGCATTTAATCGAGTTTTGATTTAAGTTAATGCTTTTTAGTGGTATTAATTGTTTTTTTTTGTTGGACCTCGTGGTAATATTTTGTACCAAGTTCTGTGCTGAGAAACTAGTGAGTTGCTCTCTTATGCTCCTGACGCTTGTAGCTCATTGCTTTCGATCGCTCTAGTGCCTCTTTAAACTTCCCCCGCAGCTGCTATTTTTCTCGATTTTTCCTTAAATCAATTTGATCGTTTTGTGTTGTTTCTTTTGTCTGCATCAGGTTCTAATGATATTGCTTCTCTCCTAAGCAAATTCGTTCAACCGATTTTTCAATCCAGCTAGTTATGACTTCTTCAGCTGTTCATTGTTCGGTTTTAGTCAATTCGCCTCCCCCACGCCGCCCAAGGTTTCTCTGCAATTGTTTCTGTTTATTTAAAAATGCCCCTTTTTTTGGTTTAGAGCGTGCTCTGCTATGCTTTCCCAGGACTATGTAATCTCTACTACTGGAATCACAGTTCTTTGTCTCCCAGATTTCTGAGCTGTGAGTTTTTCTTATAATCGATTATTTTCAAAAAATTTTATCAAAAGAAAAATAATCCGTTTTAATCGATTATAATGGATTATAATCTATTTATCCAAAGCTTTTTGTGTATTGTTTTCATTTTTTCATAACTTTGTTAAACTTAAGTTAGTTATTTTGTTCTCTCGCTTAATATCATTTTTTCCTATTTTCAATCAAGTTATGAAAAATTACAAAAGTTACCTATAGATCCCACGCCAAGAGGTACGTTGGGGGGGGGGGTACGTTGGGGCGGGGGGGGGGGGTTGGGGCGGCTGGTCAAAAATGCTGTTTTCGGGCACTTTTTGTAAAATCTGAAATTTACTACAAATTGGCCGCCCCTGGATGAACGCGTTCGTTCGAGTTTTGCAGAAAGTTGCAAAAATGAGAGTCATTATCTTCAAAATTGAATCAATTTTCATGGATTTTATGTACAAAAATTAATCCATTATATTGAAAACAAACATGGATTATAATCGATTATAATGGATTCTAATGGATTTAAATTTTTCCAAAATAATCGATTATAATCGATTAAAAATCGATTACGTGGTCTAAATTTGACATAATAATCGAATATATAGACAACATTTTAGTCAAGGAAAATCCATTATAATCGATTATTACCCATGAAACTTTGGTGCGGGTAAGCCCGTTTGAATATGAAAGTTCTTTTCTTCTGTTGATTCGAAGTTTCCGAGTTTCATATTTGGTTGTTATTCATTTTGATATCAGAATAATTATTTCAGTTGTATCTAGGCTAACGTTTAGATCAAATTTTGACTGTTTCAGAAACGGCTCTGCAGTTGTTCTATTTTTTCCGACCATTGAAAATGGAAAGGAACTTTGCTTTCGGGTGTTTTAGTTTTGTTTGTTTTCCACGCAAAGTCAGGCACCTCAAATAAAAATCAAACGGATTTGATTCATATATCATATTACAGTGTTGATAAAAACTGGTTTGAAATTTTTGATTTTTTGAGTAATTTTGAGCGAGAAAAGCAATCGAGTAACCTTCGTTATTGACAAATTTAGCAACTGAGGCTAAACAAACTTGGTTTTACTGAAAGAAAAACTAGTTTTCGAAGCCTAATTTATTGCTTTTCTGGCATAAAAACTTTCACAATTTTTTAAATTTTAAGTGCAAAAAAAATGGAAAAAAAACTAATCAATTTATTTTTGATTTTTTTTTTCATTTTTTGTTTATTTTATTTTTGAAGACAATTGTAGTTGTTCACTAAAACTTTACGCTTTTCATTAATTGTATTATCCCGCAACTTACGCAACGCATTCAGATTAAATGGCATTTTAAAATATTTTAAGTCAAGATTCAGATTCCGAAAAAAAAACATTTATTTTTTTCACAAAGTTGACAAAAAATTGGACTAAAGGGTTTTAAGAAATTCGCCCTGAGTTTAGCAGATGAACTTTTACTCAATCATTTAAACAAACCTTTTTGAAGATATAAGAGATGATATTGTTCAATCTCAGCACTCTTTTACTGTTTTCAAACAGTTTTGAACAGCGAATAGATGTCTATACTGAGTTTTTTGAGTCATTGATCAGTTCGTGTAGAGAAATTGGACTTTAATAATAAAGGCACACAATTTCTTATGTTTATTTATAATAAGGATTGAAATCCCTAACCAAGCAAAAAAAATAGTTTAAAGAAGGCCTTTGCAGGAGCTTCTTTTGCTTTGTGGCTTTTTTTTCTGAAAAATTCTGCGACAATTTTTTAGGCAAGACATCTTTAATTTTGAAGCAGGACATCTTTAATTATGAAAACTGATCGCATTTCAAATCCAGCGAGTTTTTCGTCGAGTTTTTCTCATCAACATTAGAGGTCATTGGAGCCAAATGCAAATGGGTTGTCCAAAAATGAATGCTCCGAAATAACAGCACTAAAGCAATCATTGACAAAATTTTCTACTAAAATTTGTGTAAAATAGAGCATCCAAAAATGCTTTGGAAAAGGGTGTTTTTTCTTCTCTCTTTTAGCACACTACCAAATTTGCATGCTTGACAGAGTCTGGAGGCCTTGCCGTGCGCAGGATTTTTTGTCAGTTTCATAATTTGAGCATTTTTTTGAAAAGTTTTAAAGTAATTTTAGATTAAAGTTTAAATTAGGTTGAGCAAAGGTCGATCTTAGGTCGAGCAAAGGTCGATCTTCGGTCGAGCAAAGTCAAAACATAGGTCAAGCAAATTCAGAATAAAGGTCGAGCATTTTCGAAATATACAAGATTTGGCCAAGAAAGTCGAAACATTGGTTGAGAAGTCAAAAAATAGAAATGAAAGAGTGATTTTTGTCGGATTTCTACAACTAGTTTCATTTTTTGTTCCGCCGGTTGAAACATCTGAGCTGGCTCAAATAAATTTTGAACTCTTTTTCCTGTCAATAGAGTCGCGACAACTGAAACATATTCCTTTTAGGTCGAGAAAAATGAAATTTTTATGCGCGGTTGAACAAATTATAGTTTGAAACTTTTGTTCGAGAAAAATGATACAAACCAAAATTTGGCCGAGACGGTCAAATGATACCAAAGTTTGGTCAAAGCGGTTGAGATACAAAAATTTTTGGTCGAAAAGATATAAAACAAAAACCAAGCACCTCAACTCGGACAAGTAAATTAAAGTGACGAACACAGTCTAAATATATCCATATTTGGTCAGGAGAGTCGAAACATAGGTCAGGTACAGTCGAGTCATAGAAAATAAAAATAAAAAGTAGTATAAGTGACTATATCTAAGCACTTCATTTCTTTCGTGGCGAATCAACTTAGCTTATCGCTCAATCTTTTCGAAATGCTCAAATTGTCATCAAACAAAATTATCAATTCTTCCACAAAAGGCTAAATTTGGTATAAAATTATTTTTATTGCAATGCAAATCCAAAATCAGGGCAAAAGTATTTCAGTTCAGTTTTCTTAAATCGTTTAGAACTTTTGAAGTTTTGCGTCGTTGTTATCATGCTGCCAAGCATTGCCGCATAGCTGAACGAACAACTGGGATGTATGTAAGAGAATACCTGAAATACAGCAAATACACTAAATGGTTTTCATGTTTTATTTAGCTGAAAGTTTGTTTATATAATGAAAAATACTATTAAAAAATATTCTAAAATGTTAGTAAAACAAGATAATTAAATGAGGAAAAAAACTCTAAAAAAGACTTTATAATCCATTTAATGCATCAAAATAATCAACTCAACTCAATTTACAGTCTTTCCTTTGCAGTTTTTAAAGCCCAAAACTTTTTGAATACAATCTACTTTACAATTAAACATTTCATAATTTACTTAATGCGAACTTTTTGTACAATAAATCGCTAAATTTTCTTTCAATAAAAGTTTCTCTGCAAAATTTTACCGATCTAAAATATTACTGGGTTGACAATCCTACTAAAAGTTTTTCACCATGAAATTCGGAGCATGTCTTTGTTGGAGCATTTCTCCGTTTGGCAACTTTTTTCCAATTTTTGAAAGCTTTTTTCCTAAATATTAATTCATTCATAATTTACGCTGATTTATTTTTTTGAGTTACAAATCAAAACGCATTGATTAAATTTTGTAGGCTTAACTTTTTTCCCACAACTATCTAACCTTCATTTCTTACAAAAAAATTTGTAAGATCGGAACTTTTTCCAAAAACGCAAAATGCTAAAACTCAAATCCAAATAGTTCAAAATGTCGCAGATAATGCAAAAAACTATACCAGCATTGAAAAAAAAATTATTCATGAAATATATGAAATATTAAAAAAAAAATCAATTTATGAGCACTTTGTTTTTGTTGATGCCCTAGATTTGAGGAGAGGTAAATTTTGAACAAATTTGAATTTAAGGCATCTCATTTTTTGAGAATTTTCCCTGGCAGGTATTGATTTTGCAACGACCTTGAAAATCGTTTCAAATCAAAAATATTGAGATATGACTGTTTTTAACCAGAAAAAAAACTAAATTAAAATTTTTGACGCTGAAAAAAAAATCAATTCAAAAATCTTATCTAATGATTTGAAGTTTCTACTTCTGAATCTATAATTGCCTGCTTTGATTTTTTCAAAAAGACTTGAAAATTTGATCTTATGAGACCTTTTTGTTTCATTAGACAAGAAACTTAAAATCAGTTTTCGCGTTAGCTTTATACTGTTTTTCACCGACGTAAATTCATGATGAAGTAACCTCTACGTTCATAAACTTCCACTTCAGAATTTCAATTTAGTACTAAAATATTTCGTTTCTTATCATTTCAATTCGAGTAACACGTCCCCTTTAATTGGGTGTTAGTTGAACTAGCCTTAATTTGGCCTCGTTATTACGTTGGAGGGTGATCAATCAGTAATTGATGTCCCAAAATAGCCCCAAATGATACTGAAGGAGGCGAATTCCTGATACGCATCCTCTACTTGTCACTTAATTGTCGCAAAACCTTGACGTCTATGACTGAAATAAGGCCTTCCATGAATTTGACGAAGCCATTGAGTTGGGCAATTTTTTGGGTAAATATAGTACCATCATGAATAGGTAGAGATTTCTGAGACGTATACTTAATAACCCCCTAATTGAATGAGTAAAGGACATAACCTTACATCTTTTTTACTTAAAAAGATTACCCTTTGAAACTGAACTTTAAGCTGCGGAATTTACCTTTATCCTTTTATTAACTTAGTTCACCGTTTTTGGCAGACTCTGTAATATTTATAACCCATTTTTATAACTTATGGGGGAATTTCAAGTCAATTAACCACAAAACGGGGGCGTTTTAATATCTAAACTCTCCTGAGAGCATTTTTTTGAAAATTGGCGCACTTATGATGCGATTTGCATTAAAAGTTTCATTCGAACTTCAATAGATGAACCTTTGATAACTGATTATTTCACTCAAGTTACCAATGTTGAGTTGTTTGAAGTGAAATTGTCCAAAGAGAGGTCGCTATAATTCAATTTAGGGTTGCTTTAGATGTCTGTTCGTTCGTGATGAAAAACTGGTTTCTGCAGACAAAAGGCTTCAAAAATGGAGCTGGTGGTATCAAAATGGCAGCACCTCAAGACAATTAGAGCCATTTGTAGGAGAAATTTCAAGTTGAATAATCTGATTTCTTTGAACTTAGCTTCTTTTTGCAGCATATTTTGAAAGGCAGCATATTGGCCGTCTTCGTTCAGTATTAAAATGCCAAGAATTTTTTTCAAAAGATGTTTTTTATTTTTATACTGTAATTGAAGGGCGCTATTGAAGAAAAGAGCGCGTCTAAAACCTCGCCTATAATGTTTTCGAGTGTGTTACCGGGGGTGAGTTGGGGGGGGGGGGTGTGGTGTGTGGTCATATGGGGAAAAACTGTGGAAATTACCACGTGATGGAGAAATCTTTGGCAAATATGGCAAGCATGACCAGAGGGGGGTTTTTGAGTACTAGGGCCACGGCTGAGCAGAGGAACAGGGCTAAGAAGTAGATCAGTCCGGATATCAGTCTCGTCTCCTCCATCAACTGACGCTTCTGGATCGCAAAACTGGCCAAGAACGTCGTGCTGCAAAAACAACAAATTATTTCTTCAGCTTTTTTCAGTTATTAATTTTTCAAAGAAATGCTTAAAAATACAAGAAGGCACGGTGCAGAAACAAAAAACTATTACACCATTCGTTGTGACCGGTTGCTAAGCGTGTATCACCGAATATTCCGACTAGAATAAATTTTGAACAGCTAGAAGATTGAACAGCTAACAAGATGTCAAATTGGAAATAAAAACCGTTTCTTGCAAATGAAGACTCGATTTAATAGAAAAATATTCATGTTCGAGAACTTTTTGAAACTTACAAGCAGCAAATGATTCAAAGCTAAGATTTTCAAAAACCGAAATTGGTATGTACTTCGAAACGGAGACATTTCTGATTAATAATTTTTTAATTCTCGTTTTTTTTTTTCAATAAATGAAGTGATTTCTGAGCACTTCTTGAAGGAATGCAGGTCCCAGCTCTAACAAAAAATCAGGCTGATTTTTGAAAGCACATAGCAAAAAATTATTTTTGCAATATAATTGCGCCCTTTTGTTATTAAAATAAACTATGAATTACCTGCAAACCATAGCGAGATTTCCAAGTAAAGTGAAAAGAAGAAACAGCAGCTGGGTTCTCTTGTTCACCTCTACAAACATGCTCGCACCACCCTGCACACAGAGGTCAACAAAGGTTAAGTTGAGAGTTAAAAAAATAGATATAAATGTTTTTTGTCACTTCTGAACTGAATCGATGGCCAATTCGACATTGTGAGCAAAGCTTTTACACGTTAGAAATCGGCAGGGAAAAGTAAAAAGAGTCGTTTTATAAAATAAAATATTTTTGGGAGGGAGTGAACTTGGTTTTGTTGTACGGATCCGCAGTCCCCCCACCCCTAACCAGTAGTTTTTGTAAAATTTAGGATTTCGCAAGTTATATATGAACAGGTCTAACGTATCTTTGGATTTGCATAGATCGGAAGTGATGCAAAAATTGAATTCAAACAGGCAACTCTTGAAATTGAAATCGAGATTGAGATTGATTGTGAAGAAGTCGTTTTTGTTATCACTTACCAGTACTTCGACGATCATGCCGGCGACTAGACAGACAGCGTAGGCTTGCAGGCGTGACCGGTATGAAAGGGAGCCTCCCATGCCACTCTAAAACACACACAAAAACTATTCTTACAATTCTGGCCCAAAAGTGATGCTTCAGACCATAAAACTCAAACGTCGTTCGAAAAAGTAATAAACTTAACATGTAGGATAATATTTTCAGGTTCAACCATTTTATTAATAATTCAACCATTTTTTTAATATTTGATAATAATCATAGTAAAAAAAGGCAGATTGTACAAATATTTCAACAAATATGTATGAATGTTTCCCGAAGAACACGTTCATCCATATGTTCACCAACCCATCCCCTCCCACGTCCCCCCACAACCCCCACCCACCACGCCACCCCATTACGTCCGCCCACCACGTTCCCTCAATTTTATCCCACTATGCTTCCCCCTCATGTTCAAAATGGAGAATGGGAAGCGGGCAAGCGTAAGGAAGGGGAATAGGCAACTGTGAGGCAACAGTTCAAAGTAAGGGTAGGGGTGAGGTGTTTTAAAAATGTAGCGCCAGCGAAAAAGTTGAAATCAAAGAACGACAAAAAAGCTTAGCTTATTATTCAAACACGAATGAATTTTAGAAAATTGTGAAGTGAATGAAATGAGGCAACAGCAGCTAACTTATGATTAAAATGACAATAACCTGGGTTGACACAAAATACTTATCATACTATTTCATATAATGAAAAATATGCTTATCATACTATTTCATACATCAAAACAAATACTAATAAAATAGCAAGATAAATATTTTTTCCATATTATGAAAATTTATAATAAGCATTTTTTGCAACATTGTGGAATTAAATAACAGGTGTTCTGCCATACTTTTCATCACAAAATATTTTGAAATAGCGAAAACTACTTTTTGTTCTATGAAATTGTATGATAATAATTTTTTCCATACTATGAAGTTGTATGATAATCATTTTTCTCATAAATGAAAATACAAAACGGTTTTGTTTTGAATTTTTAGGTTTCATCCGAAACATTAACCAAAAACTTTTTGTCTTAAGAACCCAGAGTGTAACTGGCAGTTACCACTCAGATAAACTGCATTTGGTAATTTTAGCCATGTAATTTAATTTTAACATTTTTGCATGCAATTATATACCAAAAATTTAACTTTTTGTAAATGGCTAGATAATTTTTAGATTGCAAATTTTGGTGGTTGAGAAAAAAGGCTTGTTTTTTTGTTACATTTTTATTTTATCATATGAAACGAAAAATCATAATCGTGTTTATCAAAACACACTTTTTTGTGATTTTTGGATTTTTTTTCTGTGAAAAACTCATCCTGGACTGCGTTATAAACACAAAAAAATGTTTTAAAAATTGCTTACCTCAAATTTGTGTTTTTTTCCTATGAAAAAACACACAAAAAAAATACTAAAACCAAAAAAAGTATATGCAACCAAAAAAGGTATTGAAAACTTTTTACCTCAAATTTGTGTTCTTTTTTCTATGAAAAAATGCATATCTTACAATTTTCATATATCAAAGCTATATGATAAGCATTTTTCCGACCGAAAATTAAATTATCAGTTTGACAATATGTTGATCTCAATCACTGAAAAATCCTATTAAATTCACTCAAAATTGCCCAAACAAATTTTCAATTGATTTTTAATTTTTCTAAATTTTCTCTAGAAAATGCTTATTGTACAATTTCATATATGAAAGTTATATAATGAGCATTTTTTCGAACGAAACCAAAATCAAGTTTTTGATGGTTAAAATGCTTTTTGTAATTGGAAGCCTTCATAAATTTCAATTGCAATTACGGAAACATGTTTTCAGAGAGATTTTTGAAAAAAAAAAACAATTCTATAACAAAATGCTTGTCATACAATTTTCATCTATGAAAATTGTATGATAAGCATTTCCATCGAAAATTGTTTATCGTTTCTTACATGATCAGAAAGCTTCAAAAGAGCCAAAAGTAATAAAAATGTGTTTCAAAAACCTTTAGAACAGTTTTTAAATTTTGTATGAAAATTGTATGACAAGCATTTTTTCCTGGGATGCAATAAATGAAAACGTATGATAAGGGTTTTTTTTTCTATGGACGTAAACCCGAGAAACAACGAAAAACAAATGACAAAAACAGATGAAAAAGGTTCTAAATCGTATACATTCATTTAAAGTGGATTGCTTTTTTGGAAAAACAAGTTTCGAGATAATTTGAAAATAATCGATTATGATTGATTAAAAAACTTTTTTTTTGCGTAAAATAATAAGAATTGAGTCAATTTTTAATCGGTTATGACACTTTTTTTTTCATTTTAGAGATATAGACCAAAATACCCACCAAAGCGTATCACATTAGAAAAAAAAATTTTTTTTGCCAATATTGCTTGATTTTCTGATATTTTTCTAAATTGTTCTCCGTTAAAAAGCAGCTTTACCAAACAAAAACAAAATTGTGCTTCTCGGTCTGCATTCTTTATGATTTTTTTTGCCGAATGTTCTGCTAAAAAATGCGTAATTAGCCACCCAAAGATTTAGATTAGCTAATTTTTTTCTACGTTCACCTCTTCCTCCGTTCCGTCTTTTGTTTGACAAATTAACGAGGATGCTACGTAAGCGAGAAGAAACTTATCATTATTTTGAGATTTAAAAAAAACGAAAATAAGATTGTATGGCATCATCTAAGAAATTTCCTTCTTGTGAAATAATTAGGTTGATGATTAGTTATTGAGCGCAGACGAATTTTAAATTGAAAAAATATCAGAACGTAAATTACCATTCTAGGCCTGTAAAAATATCAATCCGATAACTTTTTCAGTGGGAAAGAAATGTGACTTCATAATGTATACTATTCATGAAAAAACAAGTATTATAATTGTGCGAAGTACGAGCTCTGATAATATTAGTATATTGAGGCTTTTTATTTGTGATTCAACTTTTTACATAAGATATAATTAAAAAATTGATTCAATGTCGAAAAAAGCTGTACTTATGATTTCTTTCATTCGTTTTTTCACCGCTAGAAGTAATAAAGTAATAAAAATGTGTTTCAAAAACCTTTAGAACAGTTTTTAAATTTTGTATGAAAATTGTATGACAAGCATTTTTTCCTGGGATGCAATAAATGAAAACGTATGATAAGGGTTTTTTTTTCTATGGACGTAAACCCGAGAAACAACGAAAAACAAATGACAAAAACAGATGAAAAAGGTTCTAAATCGTATACATTCATTTAAAGTGGATTGCTTTTTTGGAAAAACAAGTTTCGAGATAATTTGAAAATAATCGATTATGATTGATTAAAAAACTTTTTTTTTGCGTAAAATAATAAGAATTGAGTCAATTTTTAATCGGTTATGACACTTTTTTTTTCATTTTAGAGATATAGACCAAAATACCCACCAAAGCGTATCACATTAGAAAAAAAAATTTTTTTTGCCAATATTGCTTGATTTTCTGATATTTTTCTAAATTGTTCTCCGTTAAAAAGCAGCTTTACCAAACAAAAACAAAATTGTGCTTCTCGGTCTGCATTCTTTATGATTTTTTTTGCCGAATGTTCTGCTAAAAAATGCGTAATTAGCCACCCAAAGATTTAGATTAGCTAATTTTTTTCTACGTTCACCTCTTCCTCCGTTCCGTCTTTTGTTTGACAAATTAACGAGGATGCTACGTAAGCGAGAAGAAACTTATCATTATTTTGAGATTTAAAAAAAACGAAAATAAGATTGTATGGCATCATCTAAGAAATTTCCTTCTTGTGAAATAATTAGGTTGATGATTAGTTATTGAGCGCAGACGAATTTTAAATTGAAAAAATATCAGAACGTAAATTACCATTCTAGGCCTGTAAAAATATCAATCCGATAACTTTTTCAGTGGGAAAGAAATGTGACTTCATAATGTATACTATTCATGAAAAAACAAGTATTATAATTGTGCGAAGTACGAGCTCTGATAATATTAGTATATTGAGGCTTTTTATTTGTGATTCAACTTTTTACATAAGATATAATTAAAAAATTGATTCAATGTCGAAAAAAGCTGTACTTATGATTTCTTTCATTCGTTTTTTCACCGCTAGACAGGTGATTAAAACGTGAAATAGAAACAATGAGGGTGGGTGCTTGATCTTGTTGGTTTGTTTTATGTTATTGTTCCGAATACTTCACGAAGTGAGAAGGACCTGTTGTGGAATTTTTATACCTCAAAAAGAGCTTGTATTGGATCAATTGTGACATCACAATAAAAACTTTTCTTTCAACCGTCATGTGGAATCCCAAAAAAAAACATTTAAAATTTAAGCAACCCTTAATTGCTGGGATGAAAATCGTTTCGTAATTTAACCAACGTTTAATTGGAAAAAGTGAAAAGTGATTTTCTCAGTTTTTTGCTGAACTTTTTTTCAGCTCAATCTTGGTAGCTCAAGCAAAGGCCTCCAATTCTCCCCCCCCCCCTTAAGGAGTTTGGCATACTCAATGGCCTATGATTCTCCCTTTTTGGTGCTACTTTACGACATACTTTTTTGGTCAACCAACCCTCGAAATTTTTAAGGGAGGAATTTGCGCATTTCCCGTTGTTGTAAAAGCATGGCCGAGTTTAAAATTCTTGTTTTCACATATTTTGTCCTCTCTTTAAAATGAATAGTTTTAAATTGAAGTTGAAAAAGGTCGATTACAGGAAACGCGGCTAAAAGACTCTTTCCTGTAAATTAGCGCAGCTTAGACAAAGCTCATTTCGGGCAGTGAAAAATGCAGTTGCTTAACAGGATTTCTAGTTCACGGAGTGCCATGCGAATATTTCAAATAAAAGAGAAGACGCGCGATTTTTAAATACACATGAATGGGATCTACTTAACAATCTCCCCTCTCTTCAAGAAAGGGGGGAGATTGTTAAGTAAACTACTTGCAGCGGATTTTCAACCAATCAGAATGCAGCAAAACTCGAATTTACATACAACGCTCTAGTGCAAACTTACTGTTTTTAATTACAGGGGTGTAGATACAAGAGGGGGGGGGGGTTGTTAAGTAGACCCCATGAATGTTATGAACGCCCATAGTAGATAATGAG